AAACCAGGCAATTAAATAGTCTTCTGGAACAAAACTGCATGACTGGCTTTAGATTTTCACCCCTGGCTATTTGTTATAAATCTTTCTGTATGGATACATTCATGATTACAGAAAGCCTTTCCTTCGATATCTTTGATGAAGGATGGCTTTTCAAAATTGGCTGCCAAGCTGTGGCAGCTTAAATAGAAAAAAAAGTGAGAAGAAATTATTTTTACACACACACTCTCCTGAATAATAATAAAAGGCATTAACAAAAAAAGAAAATTAGCTTTTCCCATTCTTCTCTTTTTAAAATACACCTTGGTTAGCCAGTTAACCAGTATGGCCTATTGACAATGGTTCCCACATTATTGGTTCCTTTATAGAGGCAATTAACCCAGGTACATTTTGTAGAAAATGTTTTTGGCAATAAAATGACATTATGGTGGGGGAGGGATTGACTGGACTAATAGGGATCTACTATTGCAGCACAATTGCTGTATTGGGATATATTACATTGGATGCTGTAATATAATGTACTGCATGTGGTAGTCCTAAACAGTAATTGTTTTGAGTGTAACATGCTATTGGCCAAATTATCCAATAGCAAGACATAGGTGGCAAGAGCTGGTAGCTATTTCCTCATCAACATGCTCTCTCATTATATGGGTACGGGGGTGCTCTGTTACATATACGTTTGTGTAAGAATCCAGAAATGCTAACTAGGCAATCAAAATGTCTATAAATTGAATTATTTAGATTGAACTAATCTCTTTTGCTTATTCATCTAAAAACACATTTAAAAGACTAAGGTTCCCCTTGAAACATTTTTCAGCAGAACTCACTCAACACAAACCAAAAAAAAATCAAGTAATGAATAGAAGCAATAGAGTAATAAATAGAATACATTGTCAGAAAAATCATTCTGCTGAAAAACAACCTCTAGGTATCATAAGTGAAACAGCAGGAGTGAAAACTGTCACTCCCTTTTATTCACCTCTAGTCTATACCTGGCTATTCATTCCTTCTCAGCTTTGTGAGTGTCTCAGTTTTACCCCAGCTGTCAGTCTTTATTATAACAAGGTACTAACGGTGACAGTGAGAGGTGATGTTGGGCTTTGTTTTTTAAGCTCTACAAAATAAATGTCATCATTAGGTGAGATCAATTTAAGAGCTTTTCCATCTTCACTTAGAAAGCAAATAAACCACAGGTTAGGGGTAACACTGATATTCTTAGTGCTTGTTGGGATTCCACTAGATGTTTCAGTTTACTAGCTGTAGTCTGTATATGTGCTTGTAAGACAATGCTAAGGACATATCATGTTGAACTCTAGGCAGATGACCAATCAATACAGTTATGTACTCAATAAAAGTTAATCAATATATTTGTAAATCCAGCTAGTGTAAGCACCTGAATTTGATATGATACAAGCCTTTTGAGCCCTACACAGCAGCACTCAGTCTGCAAGTTGGGTAGCAGTACTCTGAGCCATTTTGGGCACTGCTACATGTACATGTGCTGTCAAGGAACATACGATCCAGGGGAGAAAGCCACGTGAATAAAGGAATGAGTGTAGGTTCAGATAATTTTTGTAATTTTTTACAGGATTCTAATAAGAGGATTCTAATAAGGAAAAGCTGCCTGCCTCCAGGCTAGTTCTGTCAGATTGATACCTCATATGCTGATGCAGGGGCAACCCTATAATGAGGTAGTCTGAAACTGTTGCCTCTCCATGGGTTACTGGGGGGGGGCGTTAGGCTCTGCCACCCTTACCGACCAGAGCTGGGCGGGGAGATGCATTAGGGCTATACACATCTGCCAATCCCAGTTCTTAGCAACCTGGGATGTGCTGGCCAGTATTCCGCTCAGCTCCTGGCAACCAGTGACGTCAGTGAGCTATGCAGGATGCCGGCCAGAGTTAGGCGGCGCACCACCAGGAGCAAGCCACCAGCAATGCATCAAAACACCCCCCTCTCACCCAGAATATGACCACCAGCACCCCACCACCACTGAACCCCCCCATCCCTGCCTTAGTTGGCAATTAAGCTAGG